TCGGGGCCACCACACATCAAGCGATACGCAGCAAGATGGCGGTCTACCGGTAAAAACCGGGCTCCGTCCCGCCCCGTCGGGCACGGCTACGTCAAACGATACACAGGATGACGGCATTCCAATACGGCAACATCAAACGATACACAGTAAGATGGTATCCCGTAAGGAGCATCGAGTCCGGCCTCGGGCCGCGACAAGGCATCCGGGGTATCGGCACTCCAGATTATCCCCAGGCATCCGATAAATCGGGCAACGTCAAGCGATACACAGCAAGACGGCTTTAACGTGTGACCACACGAGCACACAAGCATACCGGCCAATTATTATCTTTTCAATTAGCCCATGCGTCCATGAATAGTGCTCCCACAATGCCGCATAACAAACCAAGTGGTCACACATGCAAACAGTCAATCAATTCTTGCACTCTTCGATATCAAACACGAATATCAATCACAAAGTATCACTAACATTACTTGGCATAACAGAATAAAATAATTTAATTCCAAAAGTCTCATAAATTTTCCACAGAAACTTTCGATCAAACAATTTGCCATAAAATCAATTTAATACGACAATACACGGCAAAATCGCCAACATTCAAGCTAGAAATCATAATTTGAAATTATAAATTTTCCGAAATAACAATAAATTAAATTCGGAATTAATTAATTACTAATATCCGAAAATAATTTAATATTCCAAAATGTCAAAATATTTCCTCGAATTGAAATCATTCAAATCATTTCCTAAAAATGCCAATTTATACGGTAAAATCCAACATTGGCATCACAATATGACGTTAGAAATTTCCGAAAATAATAAAATAATATTTAATTCCGAAAATATTTTTATTTAATAAAATAATCAACAATATTAATATAATTGATAACCTATCACCACATCACGATAACTTATCACACGAACGATAACCTATCACCAAAGGTTATCTAATAATTCAACATTAATTTAATCTAAACCTTAATTAAACTTAACATAAACTACCCTAAGCAAGTTTAACACCCTAAACACGGGATTAGGGGTTAACTTACTCGGCTAACGCCGGCGACGACGCGAGGACGACGGCGGCGACAAAGGCGGTCCGCGGTGGCTTCCGGTTCGGTTTCGGCAGCCGGCGGACGACGGCGAACGAGCGCGGCGAGGGAGACAGCCGCTGTGGGGACTGCTCCGGCGTGGCTTGGCTGTTCCCGTCGACTGGGACAGCAGCGGCGACGGTCGGAGGTGGACGGCGACGCATGGCGAAGCTCAGCTGGACGGCGGTGGCGGGCGACGGAGGCGAGCGGAGCTTGACCGCGGCGGCTGGACAAGGCGGACACGGCTCGGTCGGGACGATGGACGGACGACGATGGCTGGGGGGAAGGCGCAGCGACGGTTGCTCGCGGCGGGGAGGATGACGGCTGGGCCGACGGGAGGCGCGATCGGCTCCGGCGAGGGGCGCTGCTCGAGCCTTGCTGGGAGAACAGCCGGAAACGAGGGCTGGGGCGGTGGCGCCCGGGCAGCTGGGACGACGGTGACGAGCGGCGGAGGTGGACGACGCACGGCGGGTGGCTGGTTCCGGCGAGAAGGGCTAGTCGGCGGCAGCAAAAATGAAGAAGCAGAAGCAGTAGCCGACGGGAAGCAGAAGCAAGGGAGAAGCAAGACCAGCGAAGGAGAAGAAGAAGGGAAAAAGAAAAAGAAGAAGAAAAGGGGGAAATGATGGGGCTAGTGAGGTAGGTGGGGGGTTTGGTGGTCAGACACGCAAAAAGGGAGGGGGAGACCGGCGGAAAAAGAGGAGAGAGAGAGAGAGAAAAAGCTAAGGTCAAATCGTAATAATCGCGATCCAACGGCCACGGTTTAAACTCGAAAAATGATCCGACGGTCCCCGAAAAAATCCTAATTAATATTTTTAGGATTTGGCCAAAAGGGTGTTAATAAAAACACACTGCGAGGGTGATCTACCAGTCCAAATTCGCACCCGGTCAAAAATTCACTTTTCACGTATCCCAGGTAATATCGAGATTGACCACACTAATATCGACACCGTCCAATTAAATTCGTTCCGGAATTCCGAGAAATTCGACGCCAAAGTTTGGGCTCTAAATAACGGCCAAATTCGATCGAATGCGATTCTAGCGAAATCTCAATTTTTAAAAATAATAACCGGGAGTGATCAGTTCCCGGGCGAGATTTTACTATAAGCACACTGACGAATTACACGTTTTATAAATCCCAAAAATGTGCCAAAATTCGGAATGTCACAACAAGAATTTTAGTGTCTACATAGATAGAAAAGCGCATGAAAACAAGAGAACTGTGAGAATGAACTCACTATGAGAGAATTTCAATAGCAAACGGGCAAGGGAGAGACTCCCCATCCCTAAAAATGAAGAAATTGAGGGGTATTTATAGGCGTGATCTGCCGCCTCACGTCGAGGCTCGCTTTTTCTAGGACCGTATCTCCTCCATTCGACATCCAGTTCACGTGATTTTCGCGTTTTCAGAATGCTTATCAAGAGCATTCTAGCTAGCCTAACATTGCCAATTGAAGAGATTATGGACGCAATATTTTCAATTCATATGGGGGCCTAATATTCAAGTCTATGAATCAGATGTTATTTCGGTTCTTATCATTTTGAAAAATCATAATTTACCATAACATAGAGGTATAGGAAGTTTTTTCGATTTAGAGACCTGCGGTTTTCAGCTCTAAGACTTTTCTTTCGAAAACTAAAAAGTTTGACCGAGATTTGACCGTCTATTATTCCCTCATCCGACATCTGTTTGACCCGATTTTTGTTGCACTTGGATGCTTGCGATCCCTAATTTGAGGACGTTGATGGGAAATTGTAAACTTCCGGACAATGCGAGAAATGGGCGATCAATCCCATAGGTTGAAATTTGACTTCCAGATTTGGGTGGCAAAATGGGCATTAAAAGGTTCATTTTTTAAGTAGAACCCATTTTGTGGTTAAAAATTTGTTTCGGCCCTTATATCTTGCGGGTCAATTTTTGGTCAACTCTCTGTCAATCCTAGATCAAACTTAATAATTCTTTGAAAATGGGAGCAATATTTGAGGTGACAATAGGATGGATTTTAAGACCGCTAACATTGTTGCCGCCCCAGCTTGCCATCATGGCAGACCATGCCGGCAAGCCACGGCTCCTCAGCTTGATCACCATGCTGTCATCACCTCTACCCGTCACACTCTTCCAAGACTCACGGCCTAAAGGGGGTCGCTAGTGCTGACTGCCCCTTCCTGGCTTTTTTACTTTTATATATATATATATAGAGTTGTCACCGTATGTTACCTCCGCTATTGACATCCCAGCCACCATCTCGGCCTCCACACGGCCTGCCTTCACCGATGTTGACCTTGAGCTCTATATTTGCAGCACCATGCATCGCCCATGATCTCGTGGCTCGTCCGTGGAATTCGAATCTTGACTGCCCCATCAAGGTCCGACGGTATGGAGGAGTGATAATTTTTGGTGTTAATGTGCATAGTGTGTACGTGGACAGGGGGGCTGATTTTGGAGCAGAGAGAGGCCAATAGGAATTTATGAAATTTGTATTACAAGGGCTTCAAATATAAGGGATGCTTTTGTATTAGTTTTCTATGGTACTCTCAAATAAAGATGGCTATCCTATGTATGGTCCTCCAACGACCGACGTTGTACACAAAGTCTTTTCTAAGAGTTTCAACGTGGACTCTTCTTTTTATTAGTTGAGAATTGTGAATGAAGAGAACAATAATATTCTATCTATCTTCTAGTAAATAGTACACGAGCCTATTTATAGGCTTTATATAACGACTATCTAAAGTAACAAATAAATGAAGATATGCAGAATCACAAAATAATATACAGGATCATAGAATATCACAAATATATATCTCTAATATCCCCTTTCAAACTCAAGATGATTTGAAAGATGTCAACTTGAGTTTGGAGAATAAATCTAGAAAACGCCCAGGTGGATGTGTCTTGGTGAAAACATAGGGAGTCTATTCAGCGAAGGAAGTAGATACAAGTCGAACAGTGTCATGAAGAACATGATATAGGATGAAATGAAAGTCTATTTCAATGTACTTGGTGTATTCATGAAAAACATCATTATGTGCAATTTGAATAGCACTTCGGTTTTCGCAATGAATTACCATTCCGCTATGATGATGCACTCCCATGTCTTCAAGTAGCCACCGTAACCATAATAACTCAAATGTTGTATCAGCAAGAGCTCGATATTTTGCTTTTGTACTAGAGCGAGCAACAGTGATTTGTTTCTTGCTATGCCACGAGATAAGTGAGTTGCCCAAAAAGAAACAGTAGCCTGTAGTGGAGCGATGATCTTGAGGGTTACCAGCCCGGTCAGCATTTGAATAAGCTGTCAACTCCAAAGTAGAGTAAGCAGAAAAATAAAGACCATGAAACAACGTACCCTTGATGTAGCGAATAATTCGAAGAACCGCAGCAAAATGAGTTGTATGAGGTGCGGTCATGTACTGACTAATAATATGAACAACGTAAGCGATGTCAAGATATGTAACGGTGAGATATATAAGACTACCAATCAACTGTCGATAAAGTGTAGGATTCAGAAGAAGAGTTCCATCCTTGTCATTGAATTTTACATTCGACTCAATGGGTGTAGAAGAAATCTTGTTATTAGTGAGCCCAGCTCAAGAAATAAGGTCAGTGGCATATTTTGCCTGAGACAAACAATAACCAAAAGCATCAGATGCAACCTCCAAGCCTAGAAAATAGTTGAGTCGCCCAAGATCTTTCATTTTGAACTGTTTACTAAGATACTGCTGGAGTTTGATAATGCCGGTCTGATCATCGCTAGTAATAACCATATCATCCGCATATAAAAGCAGTATAATGTACCCATGATGCGTGCGCCGAACAAAGAGAGCATGGTCATAAGAACTGGATTAAAACCAAGAGATTCCATAGTTGAGCTAAACTTGGAGTACCATGCACGAGGAGCTTGCTTCAATCCATACAATGCCCGATGTAATCGGCACACTTTATTAGATGAATGAGAGTATCCATGAGGAGGTACCATATAAACTTCCTCTGTGAGATTGCCATTAAGAAATGCATTTTTAACATCCATTTGAAATAGAGGCCAACGTTTAACAGCGGCAATAGCAAAAAGATTGCGAACAAAAGTAAGACGAGCAATAGGGGCAAAAGTCTCATCATAATCAATGACGTACTCCTGAGTAAAGCCTTTTGCTACTAGCCGAGCTTTATAGTGATCCACTGTGCCATCTGCCTTGGTTTTAATCTTATGTACCCATTTACTACCGACAGCAGACTTACCAAGAGGTAATTCAACCAAATCCCATGTGTGAGAGTTTTCCAAGGCTTGCAACTCATCTGCCATTGCTTGCTGCCAAAGAGGATTAGTACTAGCTTCTTTATAGGTGCGAGGTTCGTGAAGAGAAGCAATGGTAGAGTAACAATGATAATCACGAAGATGAGCCGGAGGTTGACTTACTCTGGTGGAATGACGAACAGAAGTAGATGGAATGGCTGAAGACATAGGATCATCGGTTAGGGCAGACATGTCAGAAGTTGCCAAAGTGGGAGAGCCAGATGGGCCTGCATCAAGATGAGAAGAATACAACTGCGGAGAGGAAGATTCACAAGTTGATGGTAGTACAAGATCTTCTGGGAATAAATCCACTAAAGGATTGGTAAAGAAAGGGACATGAGTAGAAGATTCAAAGGGATGAATGAATGAGAACATCTTATGTTTCCATAATGAAATATGACGAGACACACGAAGACGGTTAGAAATAGGATCCCAACATCTATATCCCTTGTGTTCAATGCCATACCCAAGAAAGCAACATAAACGAGCATGAGGTTCTAACTTTGTGCGTTTATGTGTAAGGAGGTGCACAAAACAAGCACTACCAAAAACTTTGAGACGACTGTAATAGGGAACCTTGCCATAGAAACTCTCACAAGGAGAAATGTTGTCTATGATAGTAGACGGGGTACAATTGACAGTATAAACAGCAGTGAGACAAGCTTCCTCCCAAAACTTTTCTGGACAAGAGGTAGAGATTAAAAGAGTTCGAGTAACATTTTAAGATATGCCTATGTTTACGTTCGAGACGACCATTTTGTTGGGAAGTTCTTGGATATGAACGATGAATAAGAGTACCTTGTTGGGAGAGAAGTCTAAAATATTCCATGTCTCGATATACCATGGCATTTCGGTACGAAAAACCTTGATATCTTTAGAAAATTGTGTTTTATCATGGCAACAATATCACGATAGATACGAGTAAGCTCATATCGATTTTTCATAAGATAAAGCCAAGTATAACGAGAATAATCATCAACAAAAATGACAAAATAACGAGAACCTCTCATGGTGGGTGTTGGAGAAGGTCCCCAAATGTCAGAGTGAATTACATCAAAGGGAGTATGAGAGATAGATCCATTAAGATCAAATGGCAAGGCATGATGTTTTCTTAATTGGCAAGGCAAGCAATCAAAATGTTTATCATCAACAAAGCCTAAATGACCACTTGAAATCAAGGATTTTAATCGAGAAGAGGAAGGATGACCTAACCGAGAATGCCAAGTTTCAGATGACATCGTGGCAGCACAACTAGTTAAAGAGTTGGGAATATTTAAAGAAACGAGCTCAAATAGGCGTCCCACTCTACGGTCACTTCCAATAGTCAGTCCCATCCGTGGATCCTGCACATGACAACCATGAGGAGAGAAGTGAAATTCAAAGCCAAGTTCACATAATTGTCCACATGAAATTAAATTTAGAGAGAGTTTGGGAACCATAAAGGTATTAGGTAAGGACAAGGTGGATGTGGAAATGTGTCCTGTATGACTGACTTGCATTAGAGAATTATCAACTATAGGATAGCAGGTGCATGTGAAGGGAAGGATTTTGACTTAAACAAATTAGAATTTGATGTCATATGATTGTAGCAAGCGCAATCAAAATACCACAAATTGGAGTTACCTGAAGCGACAAACATAGCAGGAGAAATATAGGAACTAAAAGTACCAGATTCTCGAAGAATGGAATGGAAATCCTCTAATGAGAAACTGACCGACAATCCATTGGGAGAAGTATCTAACAGTAGCAGCAATGGTAGATGGATGTGCATATGAACCTCGGCTTCGGAGTTGATTGATCGGCCTAACAAGTTGCTTATATCGTAATCGATAATAATGGGATGTCATATGACCACGTCGGTGATAATGCTTACAAAATTTATCCGTCTTATGCACTTTACCGTGTTAAACACAGTAGGTTGGACAATAAATGTCAAGAAAATAGTACCTGGAGAGTAGATATGGAGAAAATAAGGCCAAAAATGAACTCAGCATGCCGAAAAACCATGGGAACCGGTCACAAATCACCAAGAACTGATCAGAAAACGATCGAACCGATAAAAAATGCGACGGAAATGGTCCGACCCGTCCGGTTTGAACCGGTCAACGGTCCAGTGAGAGGTGTTGCTGCGGTGGTGCATGGATCTCACGCACAGATCCTTCAGGCGGTGTGTGAGGGCGCATCTGGTGGTTTTTGGCGGCGAAACTTCATGGGTTAGCTCGGCGGAGGACGGTGAGTCTTGGGTTTGTGTTTGTTTTCCAAAACACGAAGCAGAAGACGTCCAAATCACAACGGAACAGTGGCGGGTTTCCTTGGTCTGAGATGCGATGACGCGTGGAGACGTGTGTGGTGGCATCCTGCATCCGTTGGCGACAAAATTTCAATGTTTCGCTCGTATGAGGGTAGTAAGTCTGATGGTGGTGACAATTTTTCTAAATGAGAGATAGAATTATGTCAAATAGTGACTGAAAGCTTCGTTCTTGATGAAGAATTGGTAGTGACGCGGCCGACTGGCGTCATGACGGCCACTGTGTAGCAGACTCGATGGGCGCACCTCAGATAACACTAGCTCTGATACCAAGTTGAGAATTGTGAATGAAGAGAAAAATAATATTCTTAGTACACGAGCCGATTTATAGGCTTTACATAACGACTATCTAAAGTAACAAATAAATGAAGATATGCAGAATCACAGAATAATATACAGAATCACATAACATCACAAATGTATTTCTCTAACATTATTAAACTCTAACTACTTCCTAAATGTTTGCTTAGCCACTCATTTTAGATACTACAAACAAGAGACACTGCTAGAATTTTGTGTGCTATCTAGAAAGTTAAAGATATGGATCATTGTTTTAATGACCTTGATCCATTTTCGTGATACTCTCTGTATGCTTTGTAGCATCTTGAACTTGGCTTACAGGAGCACTGTTAAATTATGTCTCGAATTTGAATATGTATCCGAGACCCGATGCACACGTGGAGAATTTATTGTTCAAAGTCGTACAAAACGCAATGATGAGCAGACAAAGAGGAAGAAGCAATTCTGGATATTCTCTGCGCATAAAAGAAATTTTGGCCATATTTATCTTCTATTAATTAAATGAGCCCATGACTTGACTTTGCTCTCATGCATGTCAATGGAGCTGCGTCCCATTTTCTTCTTCCTCATAAATGCATGCACATGATGTGAATGAATGCACGTAGAAGAACGTGGGGCACCGAACTTCTCTTCCTCCCTTCTGGTCAATTTCTGTGGGCTTCATTTGTCCTTTTGTTATTCAATGAAGGAAGAAAGAAGGCAGAAGCTATGCTCATTTTCTCATTGGCGGTGCTTGATGGTCATGCGTACACACCATCATTAATTGCATGGACTTCTGAAGATGGGGGCCATTCGTTCTCCTATAAGAGGAGAACCGCGGACGAACAGACGCAAGCTCGAGGGAGAAATAGCCGAGAGACGAGAGAAAGCTCCAAAGAGTGAGAGGCTTGAGCTGCGCGAGATTTGTACGTAAAAGTCGAGTCCATCAAGTTGAGTTGTTAAACACCGTAGGTATTGAGTATATATATAAGGCTGGAAAATATTTGAGCGTGAGTAATTGTAATCCTGAAATTCTCCGATTTATTAGTGGATTATTTGTCGGTTCTCTCCGTGGACGTAGGTTCCGACGTTCGGACCAAACCACGTAAATTTTTCGTGTCTTTTTATTGTTCCTCGTTTTATTTCTCTATCATTTCTACGGCTCCCGATTTAATTGCAAAGTTACGATCCGCTTCTGCCGCGTCGCTGATCTTACAACAATTGGTATGAGAGCTAAGACTTTGCAATTATGTCTGGAGCAAGAGTAGAAGTTGAGAAATTTAACGGGAGGAACAACTTTGGGTTATGGAGCGTCAAGATGAAGGCGCTATTAACAACTCAAAGTTTAGCCAAGGCATTGGAGGGTAAGGATAAGTTACCCGAAACAATGAGAGATGGCGAAAAGGACGAGCTGATGGAGAAGGCAAAGAGCATAATCCTATTGAACCTATCAGATGAAGTGCTAATAGAGGTGGCCAAGGAGAAGGATGCCGTAATGTTGTGGGCAAAACTTCAAGCCCTGTATGTAACGAAGGGTTTGAATAATCGCTTATACATGCTAAAGAGGATGTTTCAGTTCCGATACCATGAAGGTACGTCCATCAGATCCCACTTAGATGAGTTTAATAAACTCATGATGGACTTGAAGAATGTCGGTAAAATTTTAGACGATGAAGAACAAGGCATGATGCTGTTGGCATCTCTACCAGAGTCATGGGAGCACTTTACTGACTCCTTGTTACAGGGGCGTACTACGATTACCTTAGAAGAGGTAAAATCCGCCCTGTTCTCGAAGGAGTGGCAAAGAAAGTTGCGAGATGACAATCTAGCGCAAGACATAGCGCGAGGACTGATGGTTCGAGGTAGAGACCAACATCGGGGGCCCAGCGGCAGTAGAGGTAAAAGTAGATTGAAGTCGCGACATAGAAAATCCAAAGGTCGCGTGAAGTGCTTTGAATGTCACGAGGAAGGGCACACACGGAGAAATTGTCCAAAGCTAAGAAATAAAGGCGATGGGCAAAATGCCACAAACAATATGGCGAATGTTGCTGAGGAGAGTACCAGTGATGCCGAGGCTGTCCTATGCGTATCTACAAGTTCGTCAGGAGACAAATGGGTGCTAGATTCCGGTTGTTCCTATCACATGACTCCTCATAGGAACTGGTTCACTATCTACCAGACTGCAGATGGTGGTAGAGTTCTCATGGGGAATAATGCAGCCTGCAAGGTTGTGGGGATAGGGACAGTTCGGATTTGGATGCACGATGGCGTAGAGCGGACGCTGACAGACGTGAGGCATGTACCAGATCTCAAGAAGAACCTTATTTTTCTGGGGACACTCGATGATGTCGGGTGCAGATACACCGCTGAAGGTGGAGTACTGAAGATCTCTCGAGGTGCCATGACAGTGATGAAAGGGAAGAAGGTAAATTCTCTCTATCATCTACTGGGAGAGACCGTGACCGGAGCTGCTGCAGTTTCATCAGGTGAGTCAGACTCAAATTTGACTCAGTTATGGCATATATGCGATTAGGACACATGAGTGAGGCTGGAATGACAATGCTGAGTGAAAGAGGGTTGCTGAAAGGTCAGAAGACGGGGAAGTTGGACCTGTGTGAGTACTGCATCTTCGGGAATCAGTGCCGTGTTAAATTTGGTACAGCTATGCATTCGACCAAGCAACCGGTCGAATACATTCATTCAGATGTCTGGGGCCCATCTCCAGTTGCTTCGAAAGGAGGTGCCCGATATATGCTGACATTTACCGACGATTATTCAAAGAAGGTATGGGTATACTTCCTGAAGCATAAATCCGAGGTGTTTGATCGGTTCAAGAATTTTAAGGCATTGATTGAGAAGCAGTTAGGTAAACAAATCAAGTGCCTGAGAACCGATAACGGCATGGAGTCCTGTGGCAAAGATTTTACTGAGTTCTGCCAAAAGGAAGGGATTGTGAGACACCGCACTGTTCCCGGAACACCATAGCAAAATGGCGTTGTAGAATGGAAGAACAGAACTCTACTTGAGCGAGCTCGATGCATGCTTTCGCATGTAGGACTAGGCAAGGAATTTTGGGCCGAAGCAGTGAATATGGCCTGTTACCTGGTTAATCGATCTCCATCATCTGTTATCGAGTGGAAGACTCCTGAGGAAGTATGGTCGGGGAAACCTGTTGATTACTCCGGATTACAAATATTCGGATGTCCGACGTATGCTCATGCGAGTGATGGTAAGCTTGAGCCGAGGGCTAAAAAGTGCATATTTCTGGGTTATGCACAAGGGGTAAAAGGCTACCGGC